ATCTGTCAGGGATGATTTGAATGCAGTATTCCTGCTTCTTGGCAGGGAGTTGGACTGGATGGCCCATGAGGTCTCGTCCAACTCTTTGATTCTATGATTCTAAGATTAGGCTTTTATGTGAAATTCGTTTCTTCTGTTTCTTCCGTTTCTTTCGGGACCTTCAGTACTTTGGGAACCTGTAACGGTAAGGCCCCTCCTGATACAAAAACCCGCCCGACATGAAAGCAAGCAGGAGCTGATCTCAGCTCCTCCTCTGTTTTACAGCATCACATTAATCTTTTTTAACCCYCCCCCCCCCCCGCCCCCAGCAAATGAAAAGAAAACCGTCATTCCCTGAAAACTACTCTTCTCTTCCAGTAGATCATCACTTTTTCTTACCTGGAAGTGGGAAACCTCCTTAAAATGCCTTGGAAATAGTGTGTGTGTGGCTGCTGGTGCGATGCAGCTTGGGAGAGAAAGTACAGGTGCCTGCATGCAGCTGAGTGCTTCTCTCTCTCTCCTCTAGAGTAAGAAACAGAGAGAACTTGCCTCCTTGCCTTGGAAGAAGTGCATATGGCGTGCAGGCTCAGGAAAGAAAGAGCGGGCACCTCTCCTCTAGAGTAGAAACAGATAAGAAGCCTCCTTAAAGCATGTGCCTGTCTGCAGCAGAGTGCCTGTCCTCTAGTGTAGAAACATATTAAATGCCTAAAATGATTGAAAGTGGATACTGGGAAGCCCCCCCCCCCCAATAATGGGCCAATAGGAAACGGATCTTTTGGCACCCCAGAGCAAAAACAGATTTCTGATCGGGGTCCCCACCGAAAGCCAGGACACACATTTGGTCAAGGTTTACCCAGATTGCACAAAAGACATAGCTGTTGGGAGTTCAGCCTGTGATTATGTTTCACGATCAAGGTGCTTTGGATGTGGGAAATGATGTCAATGAGGGTCAAGATGGCAATGGTTTTGGCCAATGATATTAATGCAGAGAATGGCATAGAGACTAGGCCTGTGCGGTTTCGTTCGTTAATTTCGTAATTCGTTATTAATTCGTTATTTTTGGCATTTACGAAGCGATATCAAAACACATTTTCAAACCCGGAAGGGTTTAAAAATATCGAACCGGCAACCCCCATAGATTTAACGAGCTTCCGCTCGTTTCGTTAATGGGATGGAGGCTGCTGGTGCCTGGGAGCCAATCCGGCGCTCCCAAGCAGTGCACCGTGGCTGTTTTTGATTGGCCGGCGAGCCCTTTAAAAGCGGCTCCGCGCGGCCGTAGCTCATTGCTGCAGAGGGCGAGGGAGAGAGAAGAGGTCCGGGAGGGTTTGCATTGGGTTGGCTTGGCTTGGCTAGCAACTGGATTGGATTCATTCCTTGCTGCTGTGAGTGCTGCTTATATTCCTTGCTTGGATTCATTACTTCCTTCGGTTTTTGTGAATTTGTTTCTTAATTTTCCATTTTTAAATATTTTTTAATATTATTTTTTAATATTATTTAAATATTCTTAAAAAATACAAAAAATATTTCTAAAAAAAGAAAAGACTCTTCTGTGGCTGTGTGCTCTCATTTGCCCTGTCTCGTGGCTGTGTTTGGTCCACATCAGGGCCAGTTTTTGGTTAATTTTCCATTTTTGAATATTTTCTAAAATATTATTTTTTAATATTATTTTAATATTATTTTAAAAAATATTCTAAAAAAGAAAAGACTCTTCTGTTGGTGTGTGCTCTCATTTGCTGTCTCCTGCCTGTGTTTGGTCCACATTTGGGCCATTTTTTGGTTAATTTTCCATTTTTAAATATTTTTAATATTATTTTTAATATTATTTTAATATTATTCTTAAAAAAAAATATTCTAAAAAAGAAAAGACTCTTCTGTTGGTGTGTGCTCTCATTTGCTGTCTCCTGCCTGTGTTTGGTCCACATTTGGGCCATTTTTGGTTAATTTTCCATTTTTAAATATTTTTTAATATTATTTTTTAATATTATTTTTTAATATTATTTTTAAAAAAATATTCTAAAAAAGAAAAGACTCTTCTGTTGGTGTGTGCTCTCATTTGCTGTCTCCTGCCTGTGTTTGGTCCACATTTGGGCCATTTTTTGGTTAATTTTCCATTTTTGAATATTTTTTAATATTATTTTTTAATATTATTTTAATATTATTCTTAAAAAATACAAAAAATATTCTAAAAAAGAAAAGACTCTTCTGTTGGTGTGTGCTCTCATTTGCTGTCTCCTGCCTGTGTTTGGTCCACATCAGGGCCATTTAAAAAATACAAAAAATATTCTAAAAAAATAAAAGAGTCTTCGGTGGCTGTGTGTGGGTTTGTCATTTGTGTAGTTCCAACCAGTGCGCTCCTTTTGCCAACACAAAGTGCTACATACATACACTGCTCGCTCATCATTTGTGTAGTTCCAACCAGTGCGCTCCTTTTGCCAACACAAAGTGCTACATACACTGCTCGCTCATCATTTGTGTAGTTCCAACCAGTGCGCTCCTTTTGCCAACACAAAATACTTAATAACGAAGTTTTTAATAACGAAGTTTTTAATAACGAAGTTTCGGGAGTCGCTTTTGCGCATGCGCAATCGCGTCCTCCGTTTTAACGAATCGATTCGTTATAACCTTAACGAATCGACCCCCCCGCCAATAACGAAGCTTCGGAAACGATTTTGCGCATGCGCGGGGGGGTCCGCCATCTTAACGAATCGATTCGTTAATATTAACGAAATTTCGTAAATACCGAAACTTTTTTGGGGGAAAATTTTGTAATTATTTTAAATATCAAAACAAAAAAACACCCCAATTACAAATCGATTTTAGAACCAAATTTTTTCTTGATCAACCAGGCCTAATAGAGACACTGGTTCAAAGTGTAGTTTCTCATGAGAATGTTCCTACAGGGCATAGGGATGATAGTTTACTTCCTGAATTGCGCCCAGAGAGTTCCTAGGATCTGGGGCTTGAAAATAACTTGGCACGTGCAGAAACTAATGAGTGTATAGACAAGCGGGTGGAAATTAGCCAAAACAGACAGCTCGACCAAGGCCTTCAGCATTCTGCCAGGCTTTGACAGATAAGGATGAGAGGCATTCAGGGAAAACGAAATCAATTTCTGGGTGCTTGGAATGGCTTAACAAAGGGATATAAAGTTCCAAGCATGGGAAATATAGTCAGATGAAGCATCATTTTAGAATCCTGCTAAGTTCTTGCTCTTGTTTCATGGAAGCCTTGCTTGGAAGATTCATGTTTAAGGATTTCTTGTTTATGGTTTGACTCTTTGTCTCTTGGGATTACATACTCATGCCTTGGATCAACGTTTTCTTGGTTCTTTGGATTTTATTAGAGAAGTCTGGACTTTGTTTTGAACTTTTCTGAACCCTACCTTGGACTAATTTGTTCCTGCTTATCTTCCTACCTAACTGGATTTACCTGTTCTCTTAAAGTGTTTTTTTTTTTACCCTGCTGCTTTTACTTATCTTCAATAAAAAGGATTGTTTTCCTACTCAACATGGGGTATTTTAAAGTCAGAGGGTGATTTCTGTCCTGGAGTGTAATAATAGCCCTGTTAGTCTGTAAAACCAGTATGCAAAGGGATCCTGAAGCACACCTTTGAGACTGACCTAAAGGTGGTATCTACATTTTTGTACACTTATGTCTATGAAAGTTTATGCTACTCAGGGGCGGCTCAACCCATTACGCAAAGTAAGCATTTGCAGTATAGTTGATTTTGCCCAGGGGCGCTCTTGAGACACTCTTGGGAGGAAATAAGACCTTGACATATGCAAGTTGTAGTTACTGGGATGCATAGTTCACCTACAATCAAAGAGCATTCTGAACTCCACCAATGATGGAATTGAACCAAATATGGCACACAGAACTCCCACAACGGACAGAAAATATATATCAGTGATTGGTTGGGGCGGGGGGGGGGGGGGGCAAAATACTGCTTGCTTACCATTAAAAATTACCTAGGGCCGCCTCTGATGATACCAATTTCTTTCTCTGTGCTAGTCTTAGAGGTGCTACTTTATTTCATCCGGAATACTCAATACACCAAAACTGTGGTCACAAGAGCTGACAATATGGTAGGGGTTGTTTATGAGGCACCGAAAGACAAATGTGGAGAAAATGTTTTATTTATTTTTTTCTATTACAAAAAGAAAAATCATGTACACACAGCATACCAATTCTTCATTGTCCCAATCAAAAATATAACAGATGCACAACCTGTAAATTTAAAGAATAATATGCTGAAAACTTTTTAACCACTTACTTCTTATAATATTGTCGCAGGTGACCATAACTGCATGTGTTGTCACTGAGGAATTTTAAGATGAGAGATTGGTCAGGAGTGAATAGCACTCTACCATACCAAAGGTCATTGCAATGGGACTTTCCCATTCAGACTTCAGCAGGTTTTCTCTCATTAAAAAGAGGGAGCGCACTACACAGCTGAAAAGAAGCTGCAAAAGAAATGGTGACAAATGGGAAATACTGAATTGTTCTAGAGTTATCCCTTTTGTCTTTGACACAGTTTAGTGTTTCTCTTTAATTGGGCAGCTACTAGAACCATACAACTCCTAGTAACCTATTCACCCTAAGCAATTTTGCTTTAAAGCAGGAGAAGTCAACACAGCATCATGATGCATTCAACATTAAGCAACATAGCTTCCTGCTTGGACCATTTCCTGTGACCGCTCTGCAACTGGTTATAGTAAAGTTTGTGTTAAGTCCCTTTCTGAATAATCTCTATGCTCATCTTTTGCCATACTCATGGCAAGCAATAAGTAGCTTCTATTTTTATTTGTTTCATTTTCTCCAAGCACCTTCCCACAAAGGAAAGAATCCAGTAATAACGGTTATGATGTCCTGCTGAAATAACAGGCAGTTGAGAGAAAGCACGACTGTAGCTTCCACAATTCCCACTGGTTTTGGGGGTTAAAGTTTCCCTTGATTGGCCCCAATGGTGAAGAACTGATCATATCCTAGATTCCCTGACACTGTCCATACTTGACAAGGCATGCTTTACATTATTGAATGAAACCCAGGTATAATGAGCTAGGTTTCACTGAATATGAAATAACATATGGATATATAGATACCTCCAGCTGTACCCTAGCAATATCACCAAACGGGACAGAACCCTGTGCAATTTTAAAATCTTTTTTAAAAAGCTGTTTAACCATTTCATAAATATATGTTCCTTGCTATATGTTTTTGAAATGTAAGAAATAATATAAAAAAGCTTCCTTTACTTTTAATCTTAACCCTTTCCGCTGCCTAGTGTTGTAGTTCAGCGTGATGGTAATGTTACTACTACTGGTAGAAGAGAGAAGAGGTCTGCACAGGAGTTGGAGGAGGAACAGCAGCGAAAACGGATTAGGGAGATAATCATGGCTCCAAGTGATTCTGAGACGTTTGAGGGCTTCTCCGATTGTAAAATGAGGGATGGGGAGGAGAGCAGGGGAGTAAAGCAGGCTACTCGCGATCAAGAGTCTGACGAAGAGCTTCAGAGGAAGCGTATTCGGGAAATACTTAGCACTCCTACAAAGGACGAGGACTTCATTGGGTTTGAAAGGAGTGATGGGTCTGGGAGTGATATGGGAGAGGAGGATGAGCTGGATTGGACCTGTGTTCAGGAGATTAGGGACATTTGTAACCAACCCACCTCCAGTGATGAATTTGAGGGGTTCACAGGGGATTGGCAACCGGGGAGCACTTGGCAAGACCTAAGTCTTGACAGACGCTGGCAGAGGTGGAGGGATGGGCGCTCGGGTTTAGCTGCGGGGATGGAGGCAGCTGAGAGCGATGAGGAAAGGGTGGGGAGCTCATCATCCTCTAATGAGGAGCTGTAGGATGAAAGTGGGTTTTGACTGTATGGCTCTTTGCAGAAGGCAAAGTGTCTCCTTTGGGATGTGAATCTTTGTTACTGCCAACTCTCGAGCTTGGGTCTTTGGACTACAGATTCCTGTGTTCCTGTGTTTACCTTTCACAACGGCTTGACTCCGGACCGGTTTGACCAATGCTTTTGTCTTTTGGACTTAACCATTGCTAACTTTGTGTTTCGACATTGCAACGTTTTGAGACTTCGTTTTTTGCCTCTTGCTATTGGGCTTGTGAACTGTGTATATTTTGAAGCAGATTGCTGAATTTTTATGTTAACCTGGATTAAACAGCTATATAATCCAGGTTATATTTTTGTTACTGATATCACTGCGTTTTTGATGCCAAATTACTGCCTGAACTCTCTGCTTTAAAGACTTCTTTTTGTTCAATAAAGTTGTGTTTGAACCTTTTTACTCTGTGTTGGGCTTACCACGGCTTCTGGGTCTTGACACCTAGATTCACCATACAACCTTTGTTTTGCTGTTTATCCTTTCTTAAGACTCTATTGTGGCCACATCCAAAAAGAATATATGTTCTGTATTCCCTTCCCCACTATTTACAGGGCTTCGTTGTCTATATATACAAGGCAGGGTGTGTTATTTGCAAACCTAAACACTTTAAGGGTCTAAGGAGGCACAAAGCAAGAGGGAATTATATACCCAATACCGCAGACAATTGACAGGCTTTCCCTTTCCCCTGCCTCATAAATTATACTACTATGAGGCCAACTGAAATGGCTTATATATGACATCTGACTCTCAATTGCTCTTTTGTCTTCCTTCTTCCGTACGATTACTTCTATAATAATGGAAAGAAAATTTGGCATCTATAAAGCAGCCGTTGTTAAATAAGTCCATAAAGAACATAGACCAAAAACTCAGCCCTGAATCTAGAGCCTTGGGGGGGATATGTTTAGCAAATATTTTGTTCTTTGTGTACCCATTAGGATTTACATTCTACAATGGAAAGAAAACCTGTTTCTTTTCAAGATTGGTCTTCAGGTAGCATAAAACAAATGCAATTTTTATATACATACAAATAGATATATAGATATTAAATTAAGCTACATCGTATGTTACATCCAGAAATTCCATGGATATTCTACATGGAGAAGGAGGAGGATCTTCACTCCAAACAATTCCGCTCTAGTCATCAAAACGTAGTCCTCTATCATCATCAGTGGAATCTGCATAGGATTCAACTGTGCTATATATGAAAGGGTAGAGTTTGACTTCTGGTCTCGGAGTAGAGCAACATCGGCATTCCTCGTTGTAATATTTTAGCAGCAGCCTGTAAATATCCCCTTGAAAATGCAAAGGAAAAGAACAACAACAAAAATCAGTCATTTTGAAGTAGAAATTTACAAGGACAAATAGAAAATACGTCTGACAGCAAATGGGTTCATTGCCTAAAGGAAAAACACTTCCATAAGCGGATTTTTATGTTAAAAGAGACATATATTTTTGAATACAATTCTTATAAAGAAACACTATTAGGAGTTAGTATTTTGGTGTCATTCCACTTACAAATATGACCCATTTGATGAATCTGGCACAATTACTTGGTGAAAAGTATAATTTCAAAGAAATTGAAGGTATTTTTAAATGGCACAATTATGGGATGAAAATATTTTGAAATGTTATCAACTTTCCCCTTCAAAACGCATTCAAAATCTGGGCTATAACTTTACTCTGGAATATTTTAAGGGCTGGGACAACTAGGTGACCCCCTGCAGTGTTGTAGAATCTGAGTATTGCTCCGGCAGATTTCAAAGCTACTGCTTTAGTGTGTTCTATATGGGGTTTCCAGGATAGTCTTTCCGTGAAATGGATTCCAAGATATTTAGAGAAGGGAGGACCTGGGGAAAACCCGTTTTTCCTCTAAGTTTTGGGTTTTTTTCCCCAGGCCTTCCCATCTCTAATCATACTACATGACACCTTGGAAGTCAGCAGGTCAGAGGAAAGGCTGCCCTGGATAGTACTGCAACTAAGAAATCCTGGAAATCCTGAACATCTGTATGGTTTATAGCAGTGGTTCTCAACTTGTGCGTCTCCAGATATTTGGCCTTCAACTCCCAGAAATTCTAACAGCTGGTAAACTGGCTGCAATTTCTGGGAGTTGTAGGCCAAAACATCTGGGGACCCACAGGTTGAGAACCACTGGTTTATAGAGTTAGCTTTCAGTTATTGTCACAGAAACAACAATAGAGCGGCACGTTATTCTGTCCCAATCCCTCAGCATGGAATAGATACTACATGTAGGATTTCTTATTTGTCACCTGAAAAAGGCTTCTAAAGAAGAGAGATAACAATTCCTAAATATTTTTGTTTATCACTACCAGTTAGCTTTTTCACTTGCTCGATATGTTTTCCTTGATTTAGGGCAGCAGTATGATAAATAACCATGACCCCACCTTGTTTGCCTTCATGCACAGCTTCAAAGAGAAAACAATGACGCTTACCAATAGTTTGTTCTTTCTCAATCAGGAAAGTGTGCATGCTGTAAATGTCTCTCATCAGTTCAGCATCTCCAAAGGTAAAGTAAACCACATCTCGCCCAGCCTCTGCAGCTGCCAAGATTTGTATTAAGGCTAAAGCAAAATCAGAAAAGAGAGTGAAAAAAGGTAAAAACAGAATGGAGAAATTCAAATACATTTTACAAATAGCAAGCAGAAATTTCTTCACATGCACCAATAAATCTCTATGTTCTAAGGAGTAATTGGCACTCCAAAAATGTGAAGATTTCAATCAATCAATCAATCAATTCAGACTTTATTATGGTCCATGACCAGCACAGAGTGAGGCACAAAGACTAAATACAGTACCCTAGAGAGGTAGTTAGAAAAATATTCCAGATGTGGTCTAACCAAAGCAGAATAGAGGGGTAGCATTACTTCCCTAGATCTAGACACTATGCTCCTATTGATGCAGGCCAAAATCCCATTGGCTTTTTTTGCTGCCACATCACATTGTTGGCTCATGTTTAACTTGTTGTCCACGAGGACTCCAAGATCTTTTTCACACGTACTGCTTTTGAGCCAGGCATTGTCATGCAGGACAATAAAAGATCTAGTACATTCTAATTATATAAGATTTACATTAGAATATGTTAATGTTGGCAATGCTTCAACAACGTGGAAAGTGAAGTGATAGTTAATCTTATAAGTGAATGTTATTTTAATGCAATTTTATTGTTCAGTTTAGAGAAAGGGACAATTTTATGTACCAATGTATAAAAATACTATCATATTTCATCAAGGAGCTCTTAGAAACTCGTAACTGAATTATTAATAGTTCTAATGACATATCAGATTAATCTCCATTAAAGGTTGATGTTTTAATCAAACTACCAAGCTTCAGCAATTCGCATTTTCTGAAAGCACCTGTTTTTATGAAAGCATTTAATTGATCAGACAGCACATGAGCATGTGAGAGGTTACTAGCAAAATTCTGCAGCAAAATTGTTGATCTTCTGCTTGAAAAAGGAAGTAACTTGCTTACGGAGCTTGCAATAAGAGGGTGAACATAGGCTACCATGCAATTGTAGCAGAAGATTAATTCTATTAAAATAATTGTAGAAATATGAAAGCAATATAGTCCAAGAAAAGAAAGAGAAAAAAACTTGCACGTTATTTGCACGTTTTAATTTTTTCTGAACACATTTAATAGTAACTAGAAGAATGATTACCTTTCAATCTTGCATCACCTCCAAAGGCACCACATCCCCAGTTTCCTGTAGCTATTGCCGAAAGGTGATGCGGTGGGACACCAGGTCGAGAGAAACCACAATAAGCCTGAAGACAGAAATGTAACATTAGTTTCCTTAATATGTGTGTGTTTTTATTAAACCACAAAAACTTTAGCTGATGAGTAATGGCAATAGACAATGTCAATGAGAATGAAACTCTTCAGAGGGATTATCTTTATGCTGTTTTTATGCTGGCAAAAATTCTCTTTTCTGTCCATTTAACACCTGTGTATTCATGTGTGTATGTCTTTGAGTTAATTTTGTGCAACCTCCAAACTTATTCTCCTGCCACAGTGTTTAAAAATAACCAATATATGTAGTTGTCGGAAGTAGCAACCTTTTTCAAGCCTCCACTAGTTATTTGTTATGTATATAATTGAGATTGCATACTGTATACAATGTGTATATTAGTTTGCAGTTTTTCTTTAACTCTATGTTGAGGTAGGGGCTGCAGACCATGTGATCAGATCTGGGCTTGTTCAGGGCTCAGACTCCATTTTAGGAACAGCATGCTTAAAGACTTCAGTAGGAACAGTAGACTTCATTAGGAACAGTATGCTTAGAAACTCCATTGAACTTTCAGACTAAACAGACTCTCACTACAGAGAGATGCTTAAGATTATGGACTGTTGATTATAAAAAAAAGATGCTCTGTGTTACCCACACAGAGAAACTACTTCAGATCTACTTGTAACTGGATTTTTAAGCGAAGTACCTGTATGCTGAATACATGAAGCTTGTGCGTAAACCAACTATGCTACTTTTAAAGATGTCTGCTTATTTTTGTCTCTTGAGAACATGATTTATAGACAAATGTATGTTAAAGGAGATTAGATGTTTTGGGGCAATTAAAAAGAACACTTCTGAAATTCTGGTGTGTATGTGTGTATATATATATATATATATATATATATATATATATATATATATATGCACCGTATATTCCAGGGTACTAGACGACTTTTTCGGCATGTAAAACCTTATAAAATTTTGGGGGTCGTCTAGTACGCTGGGTATAAAATTAAAATAAAAATAACTACGGCTCCCAGAATGCCTCGGGGAGCCCACCCCAGCCCTTGGGGGGGGGGTCTCTCTCTCCGCCTCACCGGTAGAGCCTCTTGGTGTGGAGGGCTTTGGCCACGGGCTCCCCTCCTCCTCCTCCGCTACCTTGGCTCATGACGGCCTCCCGGGCAGGCTCCCCATCCTTACTCTCTTCCTGGCTGCCTTCCTTGCTCAGGCCCAGGCCTCTCCCTTGTTGGCACCTGGACCCCTGGGCTGCTTCCTGCGCTGCTCAGGCCGCTCTCCTTCTTAGGCAGTCCTCGCAAGAAGTGCCTCTTCTCCCGCGAGACAACGTTGTCTCACTGGAGAAGAGGCCTGCCCAGGAAGGAGAGCAGCCTGAGCAGAAGGGTTTCCCGCGCTGCTCAGGCCGCTCTCCTTCTTCCTGGCCAGGCCTCGCGAGAAGAGCCTCTTCACCCACGAGACAACTTTGTCTTGCAGGAGAAGAGGCGCTTCTCGCAAGGCTTGGCGGGGCTGGGAGGCAGAGACACCATGGCGGCGGAGTGGGGGCAGGAAGAAGGAGAACGACCCGAGCAGCGTGGGAGGCCCTTCTGAAGGCGGTGCAGGAAGCAGCCCAGAGGCCCAGGGGCAACAGCACGCCAGGCATAGAGGACAGAAACCACCTGGCTGGAATGCGGACTCATCTTAAACAGTGAGTATATCCCCAACTCTCTATTTTGTGTGTTAAAGTTGGGGGTCGTCTTATAGCCCCAGTCGTGTAGTACTCCGGAATATACGGTATATGTTTGTGCATTGGCTTATCTTTGTCCCTAAGTTCAAAGACATAGCTAGGTACATCAGTTTAACAGCTGAGAAACCTAACTGCCTTGCATGAATGCCATTTCCCCAAAAGGTTTTGGCATCATTTTTCAAAAGGTTATGACTTCTAACAAGGTCATAAAATCTCCAAAAGGTTATGTGAATTTCCTTTTTCCAAAAGTAAAACTCTGAGATGTAGAGAAACAATGGAAAATAGAGGAAAAATAATGCACTAATGACTCCATGTTGCATCTTGTTGATGAATGTCACTTATTCTTTCTGTTCCCAGTGTTGAGAAGGCTGCTGCAGAAGTACGCAAGAAGGAATCTTTAGTAGGCCCTGCTTGTATTGCATGGTACCAGAAGAAAACAGTGTAGGAACAGGTACAAATTTGCAAAGGAAAGCTTCGGAGAGTAAGAAAAAGGCAGGAACAAAAGAGACACTGCTCCTGCTTCCAATTCCTGAAACTAGTTAAGCCAATATTCATTCAAAATACTGCATAAATTGGCTTAAATTTCAATACATTACAGGCAGAATTGCAACATCCTAAAAGGAATATGCTAGGAGATTTTTCAGCGTATGGTGATAAAGCTTATAGCGCCCCCATAAATCTAACCTTATTTTAGTTGATGAAATGCAAAATGTCACTTGCCTGAAGAACAATCCACTAATTTAACACAACCTCTACTCAAAGAGAAAAGATTCTATGTGCCAAAAAATATATAAAATCTTCCTTAATGTATGAGTTGCATCTTTCCTATCAATGTGATTGAATATATGAAGTCTTATGTCAGATGCCTGGAATAGATGATTTAGATTTCCAATTAAACTGTCAGTGAAGTTTACTAATTTTATTTACTGTCTTTTGTAGAGCTTATTTTATTACCATCTGTGATGGTTGGTACTTGGTGCTGCTTTCAATACGAAGCACCCACTTTTCTTTCCTTTTTAAAAAGCAAAATCAGTCTAAAATGCGCTACACCATTCCTGAAACATAATATTAATCCTTTGTATGTGGGAAATGTTAATTTCAAAGAAATGCCTGCCACATTAAACTGAAGATGCTTAAGCATTTACAGAAGGATCTGATGATCTACATCCTTCAGGTTTAAAACACATATTCATATGCTAGTAACGCGTTAAAATTGATGTGTTTTTGTACCATCTTTTTTTTTTTTGGCTGCTACAGCTGTCCCAAAGACATTCATGGTTAAAATGTGGTGCTCTTTTGACAGGGATTTAATATGTAGCATGCTACTGAAAACTTTTGTCAGTTAATATAAGACCATATCTATCTATCTATCTATCTATCTATCTATCTATCTATCTATCTATCTATCTATCTATCTATCTAAAAATGCACCTGTAAGATATTTAAATTAAATTAAAAACATTTGAATATCACATACCAAAGTAGATTCAAACAATATACTTTTATCAAATAAGAAAAGAGCATGTGCAAACTGGATTTTAGTGCAATGTTACCATAGGTTTAGCAAGCTACCTTTCTACAGCTGTTAAAGAAGTTGGATTAAGTTTCAAGGAACAGAACCACAAGTTCATTTTTCTAAATGAAAGCATTTCAAGAGGGAATCACTTACCCACTAGATTTAAACAGGCAAGCTTCGATTTTAATCTTACTGCTGAAAATATGAGTAACACCCTATGCGAACTGACACTGCAATTAAGCAGGAAATCTCCTTCAAGGAGTTGTTGACACTGCAAAAATTATTGGACAGCACAACTCAAACACTAATGAAATGGCTGCAAATAAATGATGGTCTTTAGGCTGCAGGATGGATTAAGGAGTTACTGGCCTTGTTGAGCTCTCTTCTAATTTTCTCAGGAGCAAACTGATCAAGGAAACGTCTGAAATGAAATGCATCTATAGCCACAATTTCAGTGCATCGCCTCTGCCACTCATCCCTGCATTTGGAGGAGGAAGAGGACAGGGACAGATAGAGGAAGAGAGAGGGAGAGAAATAAGCAGTAAAATTAACTGTGATAATATTGGTCACATAAACAAGATTGAAAATGAGTTCATCTCTCAAGGGTCCCACCAGTAGTGAAAAACACAGCCACACTGTCAGGAAAAGGCAAGGACATAATAGATCATGGGTGGACTACGTCAAAGGGGAAAAACTGGAGAGAGAAGATACAACATTTCCCCACAGATTTAGGAATACATTAATTAAAAGCTGGGAAAGTCAGGAGTTCATGCTATTATGATTTGTACTCATACAGATTATTTTAAAAGATTCCCTAGGTAACTAAGAAAAATATAAACATTTTATTATTTTTGTACTGTGGCAGGATAGTAAAAGTAACATATGTCTTTCAAGAATAATCCTCTCCCCCACCCTTTTCCCCATTTTATATTGAAGCTGTAATTCTCAACAAGGTGAAGAAATTAACCAGTCTCTGTAGGATCTCCATAGGAATTGTATTTTATCTCTGGCAATTATTTTGGCATTTTGAGCTATTATATAATTCTTAGGGAGAGTGTTAAGCCTAACTGCTGATTTCCTGTAAAAAAACAAAAACAAAACCCCATATCTCTATTTCAGAATTGCATTTGGAGAACTATGACAGACATTATAAAAGAGTGGTTCCCAACCTATGGTCCTTGGTCTACCAGTGGTCCACAAGAATGAAAATATGGTCAGTGACCTCACAATTACTACACCGTTGCCTCGAAACCACGCGGCAATGAGAGTAACTGGTCTCACGAAACCTCCTTATAGTGCCGAAGCAATGGTGATGTTGAAAGGGGAGAGGCTGACCTCACACCAAGCAAAGCTACTGCTTCTGACAGATATGGTGGCACTTATACAGGGGGTGACCATGATTATACTAGTTAATGTCTCATCTAACTATGACAGCTAATTGAAGGTTTGGGTTTTTTTTACTATGTGCATCTTTCTTTCTAGATGGATTACGGACTATGAATTGGCGAACATTGACCACAAAATGATTTTATTGCTGCTAGTATACTGTTTGATTGTTTTAATTAGTTATAACTGTTGACATTATATGGTAAATTTGTGTATTGTATATTGTATATTGTACTGTATTTTGTGAATTGTTGGGCATTGAATTGTGCCTTTTGTAAGCCGCCCTGAGTCCCCCCTAGGGGGTTGAGAAGGGCAGGGTAGAAGCACTCCAAATAAATAAATAAATAAATAAATTTCTCATATATAAGCCCATGTAAGTCTTCCTAGCTCTTGAGGTACTTGTCAGAGGTGTCTCGAAAGTGTCCTCAAGTTTTTCCAAAGTAAGGTGGAAACATGGGTGTAAGAGTGGTTCAATTTCCTTTGTACAAACATAAATTGTGAACAAGCAACAGAGCCCCAAACTTTGAGTCTCACAGGACTACTAAGAAACAAGAGAGAAGAATTACCAACATGCAGAGGGCATCTCCAAAGTTTTCAGAAATATAACAAAAATCTATTTAGATAACTAAAGGAGCAGCTTTGTATCTGGCCACAGAGAAGGCAAACTAATTGAGACTGACAGTGCTCAGAAATGGTAAAATGCAGAATGAGATATAGAAAGAAAAAAAGGACCACGAGGGTGGGGAGAGAAGACCTCAATGTCTTGATAAATGGATTAGGTAGCTGGATCAAGAGCACCTTCTTTAAGAAAAAAGATACACTGAGAAGGACTGGTTTTTAATACTACTACTACTACTACTACTACTAATAATAATAATAATAATAAATCTTTATTTGTATCCCGCCACTATCTCCCCAACGGGGACTCGGGGCGGCGTACATGAGGCCAAGCCCAACAACACAGAAACGAGTGAAATCAAAACATAAAAAACAGCATAATCAATTACATAAAACATACATTATATGAATATTACAACCAATATACAGTAAAATAAAACCATTCAAGACACAGAACAATGAGCGGGCCGCATGTACAAATTAAAATACTGAGGATAAAAACAAGGGGTGAGATAGCAGTGGAGCAACTTATTTGTGAGGGAGGAACTCTTCTGAGATGGAGTCAAGAAAAGGACCTTCGTATAAAGGGTGCACTGAGGACAAAATTGAGGATAAATGGTGAAGTGTGAATTATATAGTTAAATCTCCAAAAGCACAGTGAAAGAGCTAGGTTTTGAGATTCTTCTTAAAACTTTCTAAGGTGGGGGCTCACCTAATCTCACCAGGCAGTGTATTCCACAGACGGGGAGCCACTGAGGAAAAGGCTCTCTCCCTTGTTCCCACAAGGCGGGACTGAGATAATGGTAGAGGTGAAAGGAGGGCCTCCCCCGAGGATCAGAAGGATCGGGCAGGTTCATGGAGTGAGATATGGTCATGAAGAACATTACCTGGGTGTTTCATCTTCATGGCTTCTGGCCCACCGATAAGTTTCTGCATAGCCAGTGTATTCACTATATTGCTCTGCACCTGAAATATATTGATGAATTATACAACTCATTTTAGCTGAATATCTCCTTTTTCTCTACAAAGACATTACCCTTCATAATACCTGTGCAGCTTTCATTAGCGCTAACAGGACTATCAGGAGAAGCAGAGGGTGATCAAAATGGAAGTGTGTGCTCTGACTATAGGAAAAAGCTATGGTAACCATCTTTCTCTGTCTCCTCCTAAGAAATGTCTGATTTTACTAGTACTTTAAATGTATATAAAGATGAAGCCTGTGGGTCTTACACATGGGAAACAGGCTTGTCAAGATTCAGAGCAGACAAAACAAGCTTACAAAATTTGAGCATGGGGTGGGCAGGGCAATGTGAGAAAAGTGTTTGGTTAGCAATATTGTAATTCACTGTCTGCCTTATTGAAGCAAAAGGAGGTTGTCAAGCTTGACTGGTAAAGAAGGCCAGAAAAGGTTGCCCTGTCTCAGGCCCTGAAAATTTTGCAGTGAGCTCAGAATAATCAGCTGTTCTTTTTCATACAACTCAGACAAGAAGACAATTTTCCTTCTGATTAAAAAACAAACAAATATAAAGCAGTTTCAGAGACTGCTTTATCAAAACCAACCGGTCAGTCTTTAGGATGCTCAATGATGAGCACAGATCAAAACCTTTTTGCATATACATTAATATTGCATATATAATTACTAGAGGAACTGATATTATGTTTATTTTGATTCCTTTGCGGAATATAAAACATGATACTAAATAATTTTGAATTTTAAACATATTTAGAGCCATGCTTCTACTAAAGTATCTGGGAAGGATTTCTCCTTTGTTTATTAACATAGCATGCGCTTCTCAATTTTTAAAAATCTTTTCTTCTCTAAGTCTTTATCTCTGCCTCCTTAGGCTATCTTATACTTAAACAAGTAAGTATGACGGGGATGATATTCGTAAACATTTTATAGGAAGCAGGCTGGAAAAGAAATTGGTCATGGCTCTCTACCATCCATCCTATTGAGTGAGCGGAGAATTTGTATTTCTTATCTGATTTCTGGTGCAAACACTAGTTCGCTTTGCTACAACTATGAGAAAATATTAATCCTTGATCTAAATGTTAAAAACAATCTGTAGCTGAAAATCAATTCACAAATTTATAACTGAGCATGGGTCAAAATCGGATTCTATATCCAGGTCAAACGATTTCCATTATATCACAATGGTTCTCCTTTACACATTAACAATATTTTTTACAAATCAAAATATTATGCATCATCCCTTCAGACTTCCAAAACTCCCCTTTATGTAATCTAATACCTTATTAATAATATCCAATATCATAAGAGTTTACCAATTTAACCCAACTTTCATATGGCTTCTGGTTTCTATAATAATATTATAAATAATCACAATGCCATTCACTTTCTGAAGGAAAATACAAAGGTGAGTAAGAGTGGGAGAGAATGGAAGAAATATGGTTTGTGTGTAGAAACAAGGTCAGGTTTAAGTCTTTCAAAATCTAAATAAAATGTATTTACAAAACACAAACTACTATTGTTATTATTTGCCTTTTGGCAAAAGCATAACTACCCTACAAACCATAAAACATATGTTCTTATTCTTCTGATTTAATTCATAATTCCTGTTTCTCTTTATACTATGCTTACTCCTTAGGAAATTAGTCCTCCAAGGCTGAAATCCCTCACTAAAAGCACAGTATTTCTAACATCTTCGTGCAAGCTCCAAAGGGGCTCAGCTGGTAGAGCAGCTTGAATGTGGTGGACAAAAATGCAACAAGGCATATAACATATAAACAAATATTCCAGTTTTCAGTCTCAGGTGGCCAAGAAATTCATTCTGCGATGTTGGTTATTAGGCTCACAGGTTTATCTCTGTGTTATGAAGCAGGATATAGAAATAGTAGCAATATTCGAGGTCAAAGTTGAACAGTCACACATGATATCTCACAAACTTCCATTATGCATACTTAAACCGATGACTTACTATTCAAACTCTCTATACTCAGTGATCCTCAGTATTGGATCAACCACTGGACTTATCATGAGGGTTCATTCAGGGATGGAAAGGAAGAGCAATCCACCACAATTGGTTTAACCCTCGCATTCCAACCAGAATGGTAGGATCCGAGATTCTTTTTCAGTTGAACCACTAACCCCCTGACCCTTCTACAACAGTTTTTCTTATCCTGCCTAACCAACTGGTCGTGTTTGCCATTCTCTGTCAAACTGACAATGCAAGGATGTAAGAATAGATAACAGAGAAAGAAGTGTGTTGATTTCTGATCCTAGCGATGGCTGAAAAGCAGATCGAGGGACAGCAGAAGCCTGAAAAACAAGCTGCTCAGTTGACAGTTCTGCCTCCTTGTTATCCTGAGAAAATGTATGCCTCCACTTTTCTGAACCTACTCATAATAAAGTTTCTTGTTAGGGCTAAGGTAAAGGTAAAGGTTTCCCCTGATATTAAGTTTAGTCATGTCTGACTCTGGGAGGTGGTGCTCTCCATTTCTAAGCCGAAGAGCTGGCATTGTCCGTAGACGCCTCTAAGGTCAAAAGTCCAGCATGACTGCATGGAGCACCGTTTTATTAGGGCTGGGTGATGTTAATATTTGAGATACTTGTATAGGTGACCCATTAATTATCAAGCTCAGTACCAAGAAGGTACTTTCAAGGTACCCCAAGCATTTCACAACTATCATTTCAGTAATCTTTATCACAACCTTATAAATTAGGATGGAACTATTACTCTAATTCCAACTTATTGGGGCATCTCCACCTATTCCTGAAGAAGTCAGATTTGGCCACAGTAGTACATGACGGTTATATCTAATTTGGATTAGTGTGATGAGCTCTACAGGGGAGTGACTTTGAAAAGTGCTCAGAAACTTCAGTGGGTCCAAAGAACTAGGTTGCTAACTGGGACTAGCTACACAGAGCACACACGTCTGTTGTTACAACAGCTGAATTCAAAATACTGGTTTTATCTATAAAGTCTTTTTTTATTCATCCTTTTTATTAGAGCTTTTTCAAAGTACATTAAAAAGAGAGGGAATATATCAGGTGTATAAGAAAGTAGGAAGTGGATCAATCGGAAAGGGGGGTTGGGTTGGTGGGTAGGTATGGGGGGGAGGTAGTAGGAGAGGGGAGGAAGGATCAGAATTAGGAGATATGGGTCTTCCAGTCCATTCCACAGGGAGATATTATTTCTTTTCTTTTTTTCATTTTTCATGTTTATTTGGTTTTTTTACACATAAACATCATATTACATAAAAAAAGGTCAAAGAAAGTGGGAGAGGTATGTAGGTGGGAGAGGATAGGGTGGGGGGGGGTAGGTGGGTGGACTGTGAAGAGGATAGGAGGGTAAAGAGCGTAAGGGAAGAAAAAAAAAGAAAACGGGGGAGGATAAAAAGTATTGACAAAACAAAGACAGGGATGAGTGTACTTTGTGTAACTTCCCAAGATCTTCCAAGAATATCTTGTAGTTTGATCTGATGACAACTTTGGTGTTTTCTGCTGTTGACCTTCTCTCTTCCGCTTAATTTATATGCAGGACAAGTCTATTATGGTTGGTATTTCCTGTGCTTTCATAAAGTCTATGAAACCTGACCAGTCTGTTTTTTTTCCGTGTTCCGTTTATTCTTTGGGATAGACTATCCATTTGTATTATTTCGTAAACTTTAATTAACCACTCTTCCCGGTTTGGTGTTTCTTTCTGTTTCCATTTTTTTGCAATCAGGATCCTGGCTGCTGTGCACAGCAGAAATAGTATTTTGTCCTGGTTTTCATTCAGTTTGATGTCATTATTGATGCCGAGTAGATACATTTCAGGGTTTTGCGGATATTTCATGTTTATGATCTTCTGGGATGCTTGATGAATTTCTCTCCAGTAATTTTTTAAATGTTTACAAGCCCACCATTGGTGGAAGAATGTCCCGTTTTCTTTTCCGCATTTCCAACAGTTGTTGGCTATGTTTTTGTTGAACTTGGCCAATTTTGCAGGGGTGTAATACCATCTGAAATACATTTTGTACCAGTTCTCCCGAAGATCGCTGGCTATTGTGTATTTAATTTTCTTATTCCATACTTCCTCCCATTGGCTTATAAGGATACTGTGCCCTATATCTCTTGCCCACTGCACATGACAGTTCTTAACCTGTTCTTCTTCTGTTGCCCAGAGTAGAAGTTGTTTATAAAGGATCCTAATTAATTTTTTATTCTTTTTCATTACTGTTTCCCAAAGTCCCTGATCCATAGCAAAGCCCAATTTTTCATCCTCTTTGAAACATTGGCGTATTTGGTAGTATTTTAACCAAGTTATTTTCTCATTTATTTTTTTGATTTCTTCTAACGACTTTAGGACTGTTTTACCATCTTCTGTTTTTTTTATAATTTGCTGATATGTTAGTCTGTATTCTTCGTTTAGTTCCCGCATTTGTTTCGCCTCTACTGGTGACAGCCACAATGGAGTTTTGTTAAAGAGTCTGGGTTTATATTTCTCCCATGTTTTAATCAGGGATGCTCTAATATAGTGATCGCTAAATTTTTTCTCTGTTTTTCTTTTGTTATACCATAGATAATTATGCCACCCCGATCTCAAATCGTGTCCCTCTAGAGTTAGCAGTAGGTTGTTCTCTAAGGTGGTCCATTCTTTGATTGCGACTAGGTTGCATGCTTCATAGTATGCTTTTAAGTTGGGAAGCCCCAGGCCGCCCCTTTTCCTCTCATCAGTTAATATCTTCATGCTAACTCTAGGTCTCTTATTCCTTCATATAAATTTTGTGATATCTTTGTTCCATTTTTTGAATAGAAGGTCATTCCTTACTACGGGCACTGTTTGAAATAAAAATAATAATTGGGGGAGAACTGTCATTTTAATTATTGCTATTCGGCCTAAAAGAGATATATTTTGATGTTTCCAATTTTCCAAATTTTTTTGTATCTTTTTCCACAGTGGTTCATAATTGTTTTTAATGAGGGCCGCGTTGCTTTTGGTTAGGGTGATTCCGAGATACTT